CATGGACAGAATGGGTCGTAAAGGGACACCATCCTTATGGATCTTAAGTAACCCATACAAACGGGGACGAATGGACCCAGTGGTTCTAATTAACTCTGAAATTTCAGAGGAGAGTAAACTTCTCTTGACCCACTTTTTACAGTTGCCTTTTGAAATTTAGATTCAATAGAGGCCGTACGAACATGTGTCTCAAATGGACCTAATTTCAAGAATATATATATATATATATATATATATATATATATTTACTCGTTTAGAAATTTACCAAAAATTAAGAAAATATATATGATATAAATCTATAAATGTGTATTTTTTAAGAAATAGAACCACGCCATCTTGCATTCAAACAGCGCTTAATTCGTGAGGGGCTGAATAAACGCTACTAATATTTAGATAACACAAACGTCAAAATGTATTAAGCTTTTTGGTCACCCCGAGGCCGTGTAATAGTTAGCAAACTTGTCTTGCTTGGACAAGTACGAATGAGTAGTGAGTCTGATCCTCACTGGGTGCCCCATAATTTCGGCCTTGTAACACATCTAAACTACGCTTAGAATATCATTGTATAATAAAATACTTAGACAAAGATAAGATTCAAGATCTCAGCGGAGAAATTAACCATTCAATGCCCATTGTAAAGTATGTATTGATTATAACTTTAAATTAAAAGTTCGGTCTTAATTATAGTTTTCTAATTTGCCCATTACTGATAAAGAATAAAATTCAATATTTTTTTTAAATTATTTATTTTTTGTGGGGGGGGGTGCGTATACCTGTCTACATTGAAATTAAATGTATAAAATATGCAAAAAATATCGAATTGTATACAAGAATTGCATGCAAGAATTGTTAGAAATACATTTTGTCTTGTTTCAATCAGAATTCAAAAGACTTAAATCATTTTACTGCTCTGGTAAAATTATTAAGCTTCTCTAAAAAATGACTGCTTGTTTTTAGAATTTAATGAGATAGGTTGTGTCGTTGGTAATGGAGAGAACACTAGGTTAGTGTGTCTCGTATTTAAATTTACATTTTATTACTATCCGGACTTCGTCAATTCTCATCTTCTATTGTCTTTGCTTGCGGCCCATGACACACCTGATCAGATAAGTTGATCTAATATTGTTTGGGATGTGTCTCACACTGTCCTTTACTCTCCTGTTTAATATAAGCTCGTATATTATAAATCTTTCCCACGCTTGCAACATCCAGATACAGGTGCTAGTGTATTCGGAGGCCGGGAATGTTCCATGGTTAGCTTCTTGGTAGACACAGCTTCTTCGAATAGTTTTCTACGAATTTCTAATAAAGTCTTTCGAGTAGCAATAATCCACCTCAAGTATAAATAAAGATTCACTGCGTCATATAATATTTATTTGAAGTATGATTAAATATATTGTTAAGGTAACGAATCCAAATGACGCAGAGTAAAACTGCTTGGCACAGAATGACACTGAACTCTCGCGCGCATGTACCCTAAACAATAACAATCCTACTCGTTTCCAGTGTTTATAACTCTGCTTGGAAGGGAGATGTGTAGAGTGTGGTTTTATAGCCAAACCACTGAGGTTCCTGAGCATGGCTTGCACAGCAGTTTTTTGCCAAGCCCGACATTCCCCAGGTCGAACAACCATCATACTCTCCACATATCACCACTTGTGATTTTTTCCTCTTTCTATTAATCAAGAACAAGATTTCGATACGTCTAGTAAAGCAAACACATTGCCATGAGCCCGCTGCACTGTTATCGAACAAAAACGAAGTTCCACGAATGTTTCTGTTAATATTAACGACGCTAGATAATGTGTGTCACTTCAGAAGGAGACTACTTCAAAAGAGCTTGAATGTTGAATTGATGTGAGTTTAAGTCCGGATATTTTTTTTATTATAACTTGTATTATCTTGTGCAACAAGATTGCACGACCCACAAGCTTTATCTTCTGGATACGGCAATCAATTTATTCCTTATTTTTTTTACCTTTTTCCTCTGCATATTCTCTGCGTTTTTAATCGCAATATTTGAAAACATGATTTGTTACGCATTTTCTTTTTCATTATATGCCTGATACGAAAATTCCTTAATTACTATCTAGTTTATTTATCTATTAATTTCCGCTTTCATTATTCATTATTCGATCCTGTAGCTTTTATCTTTTTCCCCCTATCATGCTATTACAAAAATGTATCTTCACTATTATTTTTTTCGTTAAATTTTTGGAAATTCATTTCCTATTTGATATTATAAGGAGGTGCAAATGGTCCGGTGGGTATTCGATTTCGCCTCAAGTAAGGCAGGAAAGCTAGTAAGATAAGGAGGGCATGAAAGTGTCATATTGGATTTGAGGTTTGGCGTTTGGACACGGATCGACAGAGAGCAAGAACAGTCGACCGCATCTTGAAATAATTAGATCACTTTATGGGTAAAGAGAATATATATATATATATATATATATATATATATATATATATATATATATAAAGAAATATAGACTTACGATGTGTTATATTTATGTGATAAATTGCTCAAAATCAGAGATAGAGCGTGTGTAAATATAAAAATGAACATAGAAATCAACATTAGAGGTGACAGTCTGTTTCATGCTAGATGCAATCGTCAGGCAACGAGTGCTGTTCTCGTGTTCACAGCAGTCCTGGCTCTGACGATTGCATCTCGCATGAAACAGACTGTCACCTCTTAGTGTTGACTTCTATGTTCACTTTTATATATATATATATATATATATATATATGGGAAGTAGCGGCGTTTGACCGAGTATTATTCGAAGACGTTACTGTTATTGTATCTGTGATTTACAGAGTCTCTGCTAAAAACTGGCCTTGAAAAAGAAAGTATAAAAACGCAGAAACATTGCTAACCTATAAGGGCAATAAAAGGGTAATCACGGAAGCAGTAGACCACGATTGACATTGAATTTAAACTTTTGAACATCAAAGTTGGCTTGAAAGCCTGGATCCGGAAGAGAGCTCCACAAGCAAGAAGTGCGAGAAAAGAAACTCCTATCATAGTAATTACATTTACATCTAGCCAATTCAACTGCAAATTGATGTGAGTTCGTTCCCAACCTAGAACTTCGCTTAAATTCTATGTTCTACAATAAAGACCTCAACCGGACAATTACTATGAAAATATTTATAGAAAAGGCACCTTGTAATTTTATAGAAGTTGGAGACACGCCAGGCCAGGACCAATAATATGACTAATTCTCATTGAATTTTATCAAGAATTTCTAAATACGTTGCAAGAAAACCTGGACTATATGTGGTAGAAATACTCTTTTCAAATGTTTCTACTTTCAATATCTATGCAATTTTCTTTTTCTGTAAGAAATGCAAATAAGGTGTGCAGGTAGTGTAACGGTCATCAGACCAGCCGAGTTCAAACTTAGTCCAGTGACATGTTTACTTTCGCACTAGTCTCCTTGGGAAAGACAAAAATCAACTTGCTGTTATTTAAACAATAAACAGAGTCAAGTGGCTGTCGAAGCAGAAAGCGAAATCGGCAAGTTGAATTCAAGTTCATTTTGCATTAATAACAGTGAGGAAATGCCATCATCCATTTCTCCTCTCACAGCCTAGCTTTTTCTTAAAAAAGGCAGGCTAGACATAGCTCTTTATCTTTGGCTGAGAGTTAACCTAGAAGAAAGAAAACTTTGAATTCCAAACGGGAAAAGCGAACAGAAACAACGCTATGTTACCGAGAAATCTTGACAATTTAAAGATTAGGATGAAAAAAAAATAATAATATCGAGATTACAAAATGGCTGCGTTATTATGAAGAAACACAAAAGTAGAGAAATAGGATCATTATTAGCGGGGTGTGCGCGAACGATGTGTTACAGTATTATATTTAATTTTAAGTTCATATTGTAAATACATCAGGATTGAACATTTTAATAATGTTGTTCTCTAAATAAATTGTAGCGATATACAGTTTTTGCTGTCACAGTCACAAATAAACACCTAAAATCGGATCCTTACAATATATATATATATATATATATATATATATATATATATATATATATATATATATAAATTGCATGACTTATTTTAATTTTTATTTTTCTGTCATGTTAACATATTTTCTTCCATTTTCTTACACCCACACTTAATTTTTCTAACATTTCTTTTTATTCTGTTTTTTCTTCTATTATTTCGCAGAAATTTACCGTTTTGTCTATTCTCTCCATACTTCTGATTTATTCTATTTTCCTCTTTTTCTCTCATTTCTTTTCCAAATTTGACTTATTTGATTTTGTTCCTTTCATTTGAATAGGCTTGTATCCACTTCAATTTATTTTTCTCTTTGGCCTTCCTCCTCTAATCCTTTTCAAAGTTAACTTCTATTTCTTATGAACTCATTACTTTATCTTCTTTTTACATTATTGCGACATTTGTATGAATCTTGATGGAGAGTCTGTTTGTCTTTGTTTTTCTAATTCTCAGCCTTCTCCCAAGATTCCGCCATTTCCTTAAAGTTTATTATTATTATTATTTTATTTTTATCTGTTTTGTTTTGATATCGTCAAGGAGCAATCTCCAGGCGGAGAGATTGTCTTACAATATAAGTAGCTCAAAAGCCGCAAAGTAGATTTTAGATTGAGTGGGGAAAGAGCCTTTTCAGCTGTTAAGATGCAGGTGTTGTTAAGGTCGTTACCGATGTTGCGTATGAGAAAAGATAAATGAATGAATGAATGAAAGAAAAGAGGAAGGAAAACAACCAACGAAGCAAACACGAATATAAATAATAATAAAACCGAAGTAAATATAAGTATATAGAGAAAGGAAAAAGTAGAAAGATGAGAATTAGGAAGAAATAAATAAGTAAATAAGGAAAAAAACTGTAATAAATTTAAGAAAGAAAGAAGGAAGACGCCAGGAATTTGAATAAAGGGGGAAGGAAATAAGGAAAAGAAAGAAAAGTATGTGTGGATAGTGAAAGTTGAGAATAAAATTAAATAAGGAAAAAAGCAATAAATTTAGGAAGAAAAGAGGGAGAGAAAAGAAGAGGGTAAATAGAGAAGTGAAATAAAGAGTGGGCGATAAAAAAGAGAGAGAAAAAGTGAAAGAAAAATGAGAGGGAGAAAGTAAGGGAGAGAAAAGAGAAAGGGAAAGATAAAGAGAGTGAGAGAGAGAGAGTGAAATAAAGAGAGAGAGAGAGTGAAATAAAGAGAGTGAGAGAGAGAAAGAGAGAGTGAGAGAGAGAAAGAGAGAGTGAGAGAGAGAAAGAGAGAGTGAGAGAGAGAAAGAGAGAGAGAAAGAGAGAGTGAGAGACTGAAAAAGTGAAAGAGAGAGAGTGAAAGAGAGAGAGTGAAAGAAAGAGAGTGAAGGATAGAGAGTGAAAGAGAGAGACTGAAAGAGAGAGACTGAAAGAAAGAGATTGAAAGATTGAAAGAGAGAGGGTGAAAGAGAGAGGGTGAAAGAGAGAGGGTGAAAGAGTGAAAGAGAGAGAGTGAAATAGTGAAAGAGTGAATGAAAGAGAGTGAAAGTAAGTAAAAGTGTGAAAGAAATAAAAGAGAGAGAAAAAGAGAATGAAAGAGTGAAAGAAAGAGAGAAAGATAGTGAAAGAGAGAGGCTGAATCAGAGAAGTTATAAATAAATAGTAAGGGGAAAAGAAAGGATAATAACACGTAAGAAAAATGGAAGAAACAGTTACGGAGAAATGAACAAATGGATAAAGTAAACTTAAAAATGAAGAACTATGTAAAAATAAATTAAAAAGGAAGATGAAATACGAAAAAATGTAATATTAAAAATGAAAGAAAATTAAAAATTTATTTATTAAAAAAAAATCGTATATAATCAAGAACCACTGATGCGGCAGAAATACCTCCCAGAACTTATTCCCAGAAGTACGCGCCACCTAATGGTAAAATATTAGTGGCAATGGTGTCTTCTAGCTAATTTCTAACCATTATGTGTGAGGTATCTGCGGTAAAAGATTTCTGTCACACCCTGTATATTTCATTTTATTTATAAAATGAGAAAGGAAAGATCAATAAATTTGAAAACATCGATGTATTACAAATAAACCGAGGTGAATAGTGAAGCAATAAATAAATACTAGAATAAATGGGTGAAATTTTCCCAAATAACAAAACTTAGCGAAAATTAGATAATAGTGAATTGAGAAAGGAAATCCAAAAGAGATATTTAAATCAACAGCCTAGAATTCATATATGGAAAATGAATTCATTCCAAGGAGAAAAGAAAGTAGTAATGAAGAAAAATGTACCAGATATAAGCAGACGAATAGAAACATCCATGGAAGTATGCGAAAGAAATGGACCGACGATATTAACGAAAATGAAAAGAAAAAAAAACAAATTTAAAAAAAAATAAAGAGTAAATTATTTTTTGTAAAATTCCCAATTGAAAGGAACGAACATAAACCGCTTATTTTAAACCCTGTTAAATTCGACAGCTTTATCAAATGAGCAGAAACCCTGACCCTACACATCAGATGACGCCAAACTTTCACGACTTTTATTTCATCAACAACTTTGACGCCATTA